CGACCATGTATAGTCAGACGTTTTTTAGCCGAAAAAAACGACCATGTATAGTAAGCCGTTTTTCGCCCGAAAAAAACGACCATGTATAGTAAGGCGTTTTTTGCCGAAAAAAACGACCATGTATAGTAAGGCGTTTTTTGCCGAAAAAAACGACCATGTATAGTAAGGCGTTTTTTGCCGAAAAAAACGACCATGTATAGTAAGGCGTTTTTTGCCGAAAAAAACGACCATGTATAGTAAGGCGTTTTTTGCCGAAAAAAACGACCATGTATAGTAAGGCGTTTTTTGCCGAAAAAAACGACCATGTATAGTAAGGCGTTTTTTGCCGAAAAAAACGACCATGTATAGTAAGGCGTTTTTTGCCGAAAAAAACGACCATGTATAGTAAGGCGTTTTTTGCCGAAAAAAACGACCATGTATAGTAAGGCGTTTTTTGCCGAAAAAAACGACCATGTATAGTAAGGCGTTTTTTGCCGAAAAAAACGACCATGTATAGTAAGGCGTTTTTTGCCGAAAAAAACGACCATGTATAGTAAGGCGTTTTTTGCCGAAAAAAACGACCATGTATAGTAAGGCGTTTTTTGCCGAAAAAAACGACCATGTATAGTAAGGCGTTTTTTGCCGAAAAAAACGACCATGTATAGTAAGGCGTTTTTTGCCGAAAAAAACGACCATGTATAGTAAGGCGTTTTTTGCCGAAAAAAACGACCATGTATAGTAAGGCGTTTTTTGCCGAAAAAAACGACCATGTATAGTAAGGCGTTTTTTGCCGAAAAAAACGACCATGTATAGTAAGGCGTTTTTTGCCGAAAAAAACGACCATGTATAGTAAGGCGTTTTTTGCCGAAAAAAACGACCATGTATAGTAAGGCGTTTTTTGCCGAAAAAAACGACCATGTATAGTAAGGCGTTTTTTGCCGAAAAAAACGACCATGTATAGTAAGGCGTTTTTTGCCGAAAAAAACGACCATGTATAGTAAGGCGTTTTTTGCCGAAAAAAACGACCATGTATAGTAAGGCGTTTTTTGCCGAAAAAAACGACCATGTATAGTAAGGCGTTTTTTGCCGAAAAAAACGACCATGTATAGTAAGGCGTTTTTTGCCGAAAAAAACGACCATGTATAGTAAGGCGTTTTTTGCCGAAAAAAACGACCATGTATAGTAAGGCGTTTTTTGCCGAAAAAAACGACCATGTATAGTAAGGCGTTTTTTGCCGAAAAAAACGACCATGTATAGTAAGGCGTTTTTTGCCGAAAAAAACGACCATGTATAGTAAGGCGTTTTTTGCCGAAAAAAACGACCATGTATAGTAAGGCGTTTTTTGCCGAAAAAAACGACCATGTATAGTAAGGCGTTTTTTGCCGAAAAAAACGACCATGTATAGTAAGGCGTTTTTTGCCGAAAAAAACGACCATGTATAGTAAGGCGTTTTTTGCCGAAAAAAACGACCATGTATAGTAAGGCGTTTTTTGCCGAAAAAAACGACCATGTATAGTAAGGCGTTTTTTGCCGAAAAAAACGACCATGTATAGTAAGGCGTTTTTTGCCGAAAAAAACGACCATGTATAGTAAGGCGTTTTTTGCCGAAAAAAACGACCATGTATAGTAAGGCGTTTTTTGCCGAAAAAAACGACCATGTATAGTAAGGCGTTTTTTGCCGAAAAAAACGACCATGTATAGTAAGGCGTTTTTTGCCGAAAAAAACGACCATGTATAGTAAGGCGTTTTTTGCCGAAAAAAACGACCATGTATAGTAAGGCGTTTTTTGCCGAAAAAAACGACCATGTATAGTAAGGCGTTTTTTGCCGAAAAAAACGACCATGTATAGTAAGGCGTTTTTTGCCGAAAAAAACGACCATGTATAGTAAGGCGTTTTTTGCCGAAAAAAACGACCATGTATAGTAAGGCGTTTTTTGCCGAAAAAAACGACCATGTATAGTAAGGCGTTTTTTGCCGAAAAAAACGACCATGTATAGTAAGGCGTTTTTTGCCGAAAAAAACGACCATGTATAGTAAGGCGTTTTTTGCCGAAAAAAACGACCATGTATAGTAAGGCGTTTTTTGCCGAAAAAAACGACCATGTATAGTAAGGCGTTTTTTGCCGAAAAAAACGACCATGTATAGTAAGGCGTTTTTTGCCGAAAAAAACGACCATGTATAGTAAGGCGTTTTTTGCCGAAAAAAACGACCATGTATAGTAAGGCGTTTTTTGCCGAAAAAAACGACCATGTATAGTAAGGCGTTTTTTGCCGAAAAAAACGACCATGTATAGTAAGGCGTTTTTTGCCGAAAAAAACGACCATGTATAGTAAGGCGTTTTTTGCCGAAAAAAACGACCATGTATAGTAAGGCGTTTTTTGCCGAAAAAAACGACCATGTATAGTAAGGCGTTTTTTGCCGAAAAAAACGACCATGTATAGTAAGGCGTTTTTTGCCGAAAAAAACGACCATGTATAGTAAGGCGTTTTTTGCCGAAAAAAACGACCATGTATAGTAAGGCGTTTTTTGCCGAAAAAAACGACCATGTATAGTAAGGCGTTTTTAGCCGAAAAAAGGACCATGTATAGTACGGCGTTTTTAGCCGGAAAAAAACTACCGTGTATAGTAAGGGATTTTTCGCCGAAAAAAAAAATGACCACGTGTCGTAAGGCGTTTTTAGCCGAAAAAAACGATCATGTATCGTAAGGCGTTTTTAGCCCGAAAAAAACGACCATGTATAGTAAGG